TCACATCTAAATAACTTTTTGGAGACCGTTCGATACGTCGTCATAAAGTAGTTACCTATACAAGGTGTTCCGCGAAGATATGACCATTGTGATACACTGGAAATTATTAATTTTATTGTAATATTTTATTGACAACTTAAGAAACAAAGTGGTTTTAAAATCAACACCATTATTTTTCGTCACTATTACTTTGGGGTGAACTGACTACTTACTTTTAATTTTTAAATAGTAACCTTTATTAAAAATGCCAAGAATAGAACAGTTTAAATACATTTTGACGTAGACATTATTGATTTCCGTCCACTTTTAAGTTTAGACAGGAAGAGAGTAGCGCTAAACATAATGCTAATGCAATATTTCAGAGCAATTTGTTTCTTAAATGGTTAAAAAAGAATTCAGAAAAAAACAATTTTTTTCCCAAGATATTACAATGGCCATATTATATTCGCGGGACACCCTGTATAATATAATACAATGCGTGTAAGTATTGCAGCTTATGTGTGTACATAGTATTCGCTCGTCGTTAAGGGCACCCAAAGAACAATAATGGTATAAATAATAATTGAAATCGACCGTCGTCGGCGACATCGCGGCAACCGATATTCCCAACTGAGGTGGGTATGTACAATTAGGTATACATTATATAATATTGTATGCATTATAAAACGCTACTCTTTTGGTTGTTTTATTGTCTGCAGAGAGATTGATAGATAGCAGTAAAACGTTAACATTAACACGGTTTTCTATAAACAGATTTTAAGTGGATTTCTCAACCGTCGTTATTATGGAATCGCATTGAAAGCTTTATCTAAAGCCTGTTTTACAAACGTTTCCCTCGATTGTCACGAAAACTCTACAACGAAAAATCCAAAAAACGACTTTCTCTAATTGCACCAATTCGACAACGTTCGATACAAAAAAGCTGTCTTGTCGGTTTTCGATTGAAGATTTTTGGTAGAAAAGCGGTTAACAAAAAGAAAAAAAAAAAAAAAGAAAAGAAAAAATCACCTCATAATAAAACTAATGCATTTCTCCGCGATACGCTCAGAATCTAAAAATATACACCGTATACTAAAGACTAAAGTAACCTAAACATGAAATCATTTATGATAAACATAGTTACAAAATACAGTCGATGGGGGGATGGCCCACGTGCCACGACTACACCACCGAATGAGTACACCTACACTTTAGATTTCCAAACAGTAATCTCTTTTTTGTTGTTTTAAGATCTGCATACAGATTCTATAATAGAGATTGTTTTCTAAAAATATTGATGTGCGCGTAACACACGAGTATATTTAAAATTTAGACCCGGGTAGGGAAGAGTTATCAATTTACTATGTCTAAAAATGGATACGAAGTTTATAACATCCGCGTTTTTTAAAAATACAAAATACAAACGAGTGGCTAACGTCGAGTAAGACCCACGGGAGAAGACTCAGAGGCCGCGCCTGGTAAAGACGGATGGACGTTTTGCATACCGAACGTCGCAAGATATGCGCGAGGAGCGGAACCGGAAACAGAGTGAAAACGGACGGAAAGATTTCGGGGAACAGTAGAAGCAGCGATGGCCCCAGGTGCGGGCTACACTAAACTACAGAGGGATGAGGATAAAATGTACATACGGAGAAAAACATTTCATTTCATTTCGTTTTTTTTTTTCAAAGTTACTTATAGACATTTTCTAAGACGCTGTATTTTCGGTGGGCGGGCGTAATCGATATGAATTCACAACACGGGCGTGCATCGCGTATGCAATTATTATTGTTATCGTGTTTGCCCGGATCCGTTCGAAAGCGGCTCGCCGACGTCCGCGTCACTGCGAATTATTATTATCGTAGTACAATGCGCGTCGGGGGCGGGGTCAAAGTCGAAATTTGCGCGGTCGTCGCGTTCGGGGGGGGGGGGGGCTAAACGCGGACCACGCCGATGAATCATCGCGTGTGTTGGTCCGATTGAATGTACGAGTTTTATTTTTACACCGGATTTCGGCGTGCCGACACGACGGCGACGATAATAATATTATTATTGTAACAATACATTATGATAAATCGAATTTCGATGCGTATCCGCGCGCAAACACATATTATCATTGCAATGTCATATAAATACATATATGCACGCCAATATACGCGCGTGTCGAGATATTGTGTGGTTTTGCAAATATATTATGAGCTTTAGTCGAAACGAAGAACAGTAATCATCGGCTGGGTGGTTTTTTCGTGGATTTTTTTTTCTGACCGACGCGTCAAATACGCACTATTCGATATTACGAATGTTATCAAATTCGTCGCGTTCAAAGAGCAAAACCGTAGGACAGAGCGCGACAAATTGTACGGATGCGCGCGTACACGGCCGAATATTTTAGGTTTAAATAATATTTTTGCGGTCGGTTTAAATTTTGAATTTTCCCGAAAAAGATCCCGTTACGGGTAGAAAAGTCTAGTTTGAAAACGTTAGTGCGCGGACAATTAGAAGACAAAAAATCGTAATTTAAACTCACTTGCAGTGTTTTTTTTGTTATAGAAAAGTACAACTTTTCACTGGGAAATTTACCATCTGGTTACAATTCCCACGCCGTCAAAGAAGAACTTTACGAAAATAAGGTAAAAAACGTTTTTTTTTTATTTTTTTTTTTTTTTTATAAAAACGCACCTGTATCTATAATACAGTTTCGAAACTAATTATTTCATTAAGTATCTAAACGTATACCAAACAGCTATAGGTATGTATCGACTGCGGTACGGGTACACGGCGAATTTAATTATAGTGTTATTAACTTATATTTTGTTTGTATATACTTACCTGAACTAACGTCATGTACCTGCATAGGTAATTATTGTTGTTTATTCACCCGACAAACCAAATTGATTCCGATTGCGTTCGTTATTCGGGCGTTTGTTTGTCGACGATGGGCCACGAAAACACCTATATTTTTTTCTCTTCTTTTTTTCATTAGTTTTTTCACGACGCACCGTATAGAATCAAATTATAAACAGCAATAAAAATTATCCAGTAATTATTATCGGCAAAAAAAAAAAAAAAATAAATAAAAATTGATTCGATATCCACCTCCTGTATATTATAATATAATACGCGTACCTATATGTACTTTGCAGTACACCGTGTTTGTTTACAGACTGCATTATATATAGGCGGCTATTATAAACGTCAAAACTGACGCGCGGAAAACGTATTATTATTGCGGACGAAAATTTAATATTAAATCGGAAAACGGTAATAAATAATAACAATAATAATAATAATATGTACATTGTAAGTACGGGGTTTTTTTTTTTTTTTTTTTTTTTTTTTTGTTTTTTTAGCTAAGTACATAATAATATTATTATATAGTAAAAGTTTGCAGTATATACCTATATACACCTATAAGTATACGTTTGATTTATAATATTTACATATTTGTACTACAAACACACATTTTTTCCTCGGGTATAATAATATTATATTTTACTATGTATTTAATGTACAACATATACTATAGGTACACCATGCGGATTGCGAATAATATACGCAAACGAGTTAGGAAAATAATAATAATTATATTAAACGTCTAATGCGGTATTATGTATACACGTTTTTTCGGGTAGGTATAGGTACTGTTTCTATGATATTATTTGAGGTTATATTTAATTTTTCGTACGCGCGGAGCATGTTATTATACTGCTATTATAAACGAAAAACTCCCATTGCGAAATCATATATTAATATTACTATAATATAGTTAGTGTGCAGACGTTTTTAAGTACACGTGCATTTTTTTTTTTTTCTGTTAACAAGTATATATACAAATTCCGCATACGCGCCAGATGTGAACGTCAAAAGAAAAGACAAAAAAATAAAAAAAAACTTTATACTTTCGTACAGTCTCGATAAACAATATTTGTTACGAAATATTTCCGCGCGTATCCCCGTATATTAGAGGAGTAACCTTTTTAATTTAACTCGGAGTGGAAACTTGGAGAGAAAAGAGTATACGTTTATAATGTATAGTTTTTTTTTTCGCGATGCCATGCATTATATATATTATGTTAAAAAAGTTTCCGACGAAGCGAAAGAAACGTGCTCTTTTGTAAGTTTTTTGTTTTTTGGCTTAAACGGTAAACAAATGTTGTCGTTTATGCATTCGATAAGTTAACGAAGTAATAATAGCGCGTAGTTACGTAGGATTCCTGTCTGCGACCATAACGCAGGAAAATTGACTTAACGTTTTCCACAAGACGAACGTTTTCTCGCGGGTTCTCTGTCTTCGATGGCGGCGGCGGTTTCAGCAGCCGTTTCAGGTGATTTTTTATTCCGTTTCTATTTTTTTTTTTTAAGTATGTAAACGCCACATGAATATGTTATCGATACGGGTTTTCTTGTGCTATAAATGTATATAATATGAAGAAAAAAAAATCACTGCTTGTAAACGGTCGTAAATTTTTAGCACCTCCTTTAACTTAGGTACACGGGAGGAGTGAGTGAAACAAGAGTAAAGTTTAGAAGTGCGTATACCGGGGGCGGCTGCCGTCTGGATAGCAGCCAAACCAATAATTTCTGTGTTCACATAATGTTTCACGACTCGGGACGAATAAAAAATAAAAAAAAAATAATACCCTTTGGAGCATTTATACACCCGACTCGCTGTTTTGCATGTCGTTTTTTTTTTCCTACGTACGTATACACTACTGCACGGTACACACATTGTCCGTAAGATTCTCGGCGCCATTCGAAATTACTTGCGGTTCATCGGATTTTACGGCGTTATAAATATTTCTGGATAAAGTTTATAAAAAATAATTCATAGTAAATACACACTAAAAGTCGCGCGTTTACCGTTATAACGACGGTGCTTAAAATAAAAAATAGTATGGTCTCGATATAAGATTGTGTCATGAAACCCGGAGGATATAGCAAATCTAAAAGTTGAGAATTTAGTATTCGAACGAGTAGAAGACTTTGAGTACTCAGGAGTAAATATCAATCATAAAAATAATATGCACGGCGAAGTACGTCAGAGAATTAACATGGGCAACCGGGCATATTTTGCAATAAAAAAAATGGTGTCGCGGAAAACAAAAGAAGTACTATATATTTGCTATTTAAGACCAATTGTCATGTGTGCTTGTAAGACTGAACCATGGCCAATGACAAAGAGTGACGATTATAATATTTTGAAAGAAATAGATATTAAGAAAGATAAAAAGAACTCAAGCGCAGGAGACTACGAAAGGTGGAAAAATGTAGAGTTAGAACAGTTGTATAACAAACCAAGTATCAAAAATATGTGGCACGCCAAAAGGCTTGATCGGGTTGGGCACATGTGGTGAACAGTCAAACAATTAAAAAGAATGTGGTGATAAGGACCTTATCCAGGAAACGGCCACATGGAAGGCCACGAAAGCGATGGCTGGACAGGGTATAACGAATGGTATTAGAGCGATTGATGAATTCAAGAGTTTGGGAGACTCAGAAGACCGGGAAGACTAGAGAAGTTTAGTTGAAGCTGCTAAAAGCCTAAAAGGCTTTTAAGGTAAAAGAACAAAAAAAAAAAAAAAATTGTCTCGGTGTTTGACTCGTATACCTACGTGAATTATCGAAATTTAAAAACGCTTATATCTCACCCAAAAATCAAAATTCCGTTACCGAAAGACGTAAATAATATGTTCTTAACTACACATTTAATAATAGGTCGATTCACTTTAATACGAGTTTGGTTCTGTTGAATGTGAATTCGCTTTGTCGCGCGTGGATATAGGGAGAGTGTAAACAAATAGTGCGGTGACATCTTCTTTAGTGAATTTTTGTTTTTTGTGAACTCGTTATTGTCACAATGACACCCATCAACCGCCCGGACAAAACCGTATTATTATTATTTACACGACGGTATTCAAATATTATTAAACGTACGGTTTGAAAATTACTATCGTGTTAAAATATTAAACGAAACCGAAATTAACGTAACGAGGTAATTATTTAAAAAAAAAAAAAAAAAAAAAATCAAATTTTAAAAGCAGCAAGTTATAAGTTAAAATTAACTCGACTTTTAACTTTTTAACTCGGTAACGTCCACCACCACCCTTGGGGACGACTATATAACGAGTACCTACTGTTGCAGTGTTAAATGGGTTAGGTTGCGTTTTGTGTAATATGCGCGAGGACGACGACGACGAGACATGGTGCCGGTTCATGCAGAGTTTGAGAAGATTATACTCGTATTTATTATTATTATGATTTTGTATGTATATATGTTTTTTTTTTTTTTTTTTTTTTTAAACAACATAATATTCCGGATGATGTTTTTAACTAGCTGCGGATAATTTTAGGGTCCGGGCTATAATATAATACGTTCGTATTAGTAGGTAGTTTAATTATTTGAAAATAACGAGTTACGTCCGCGCAATGGATAATAATAATAATACTATTATATGACCACCCGCGTTAGCGATCAGAAATTGACTAGCAACCTTGAACTAATGTATGTACGTGTACGTGTGTGTGTGTGTGTGTGTGTGCATACGATATTATGTTTGGTCAATATACCCGGTTGATTTTTTTTTTTTTTACGATTTTTTCCCAGACCATCGTCGTGCGAAGACCTCTCTCGCGGACATTTGCCGAAAATTATTACCTGTATTACTTACTGTATTATATTATACAAACAAACCGAACGCAAATAACAATTATTATCGGCTATCGTATTATAATATTTACATCAACACGAGATGTTGTGTACGGTTAGCGTTTTTTCTTTCTTCTTTTTAATCGATCGCGAGTTTTACCACGCGCCGCACCGTTAGCGCGAAAACCATCTGCTGTCCGCTCGTTTCACTGCAGACACCGCGCCGACAGCAGCGCGTCATCTACTACTACGTGGCACTGGTGTACTGCCCGTACTCTTTTAATACATTTTTTTTTTCCCCCCATTCTTTTTTCGTTAGTTTTCTAAAATGCAGACATTTCGCGCTTACCTATCAACCCGTATACCTACCTACCCATCTACCGCCTATCCACTACGCGGATACTTCTCGGCGGGCCCTCCGATCGCACCCGTTCGTGTTCGTATATTATTATTACACACACTGCTTGGCTGTTGCGCCGCTCGCGCCGGCCGACCGTGGTTCGCCGTCGTGTACATATATTACAACGACCGCGGTATACTATTATTATTTATTTTTTTCTTATCCAGTAGAGATACGTATTAATGACTTAATAACGACGAGATACCGCGGCGGGCCCTCGGCAGACATCTGTCCGCGATATTATTAGTTTATTACGGAAAAATAATAAAAAAAAAAAAAAACACCGACCCACCGGGCGTCTCAACGATCGACAAGAATCACGGGCACGCGCGTTCGAACCCCGTTTTTCCGTTGCAATCCATACGCGAGAAGAAAATACGTGTCCCCGACGCGCGTTCCCCGAGTATGTGCGTGCGCCGTCTACGCGCTGCATTACAGTGGGTATGTTCGCGGCATGGGTAGGTCGCTTAATGCGGCCGGGCAGTCCGGAAGACACGGGCCGATTTCGTTTAATGAAAACACCGCGATTGATCACAATCGATCGACAAACGATTCTGAGTGGACCTCGGGTAAATCCGTAAGCAGTTGGGCAGGTATATTAACATAGGATAAATCGTGTTTTTGAAAACCGACATGAATCGACATTTTTTCGTCGTCGGTTTTTTGTTTTTCGATTTTCAAGACGGTCGGGAACGTACAATAATTGCGTATATATTTAAAACTGCAACTGCTGTAGTTCTACAAACAAAGTAGTGAGTACCGCCTGGCGGGAATTTCGCATCTTTTGAGGCGCGTGAAAAAAATCTCAGCATTTAATTCGTCAAAAATTTGCTTTTTATGTAAAGAAAAAAAAAACATCGCAGTGTAACTTCTCATCGTAGCCTCTAATCGGTAAATACATTCAAGATTCGACCATTTTCCGTTGTTTTCCCGCCATTCCTTTTAGCCGTTTTTAGTCATTTTCGATAAATTTCCGTCTTAATAGTGTTTAATCGACGTCTCAATCGATCGCGTACCGTAATATTTTAATATAATAATGGGCGTACGATTAAATTTCGCAATCGGCCGATTTAACAATTTTGTTATCATACATAATGCATGGTTGTTGTTATTTTCAAAATCGAATTGTATTCCGTGTAAATCTGTTTCGACGATCCCGGCGCTGCAAGCGCGTCCGCATTATAGAGAACCGTACGGTTGTGTGCAAACCACTACAGCCGTCGAATTTACGCGACACCGAACGATTTGCATACAGACATTGTTTTATTTCGACGCGAGAGTTTTGCCGGGGGGGGGGGCCGTCGAACGTTCGAAAACGTTATCGTAGAAAACCTCGTGATATTTACCGCGCGTTTTACATATTTACGTATAAAATATTCCGGTATTCCTAACCTACGTGAACCGCCGAAGAAACGCGCGCGCCGAATTGTCCGATCGCCGTATCGTTTATGATAATATAATACGCGCAATACGCATACGATAATAGTAGTCCGACATCGGCCGAGAGCGGCTTGCGACGGCCAGAGTGCATTATTTCGCGTTTGGAATTATACGCATAAATACCGGATTGTGTCGACGGCCAAGGCGGTTATAAAAGTCGTACGTGTGACGAAACTATCGAATTTGACAACGTGTAACGACGACGCGTACAACCGATTCTGTTGTATATCTAAGCGTTTTAGTAGTGTTCATTTTTTTTTTTTTTTTTTTTTTTTTTTTTTGTTTTCGACGTACAAGGTTTTGACGCGTCGATCGACGAACGTACGTCATACGATTCGCCGTACGACGTACCGGCGTGATGTGGCGTTTACGAAAATTCGATTTGCTCCTCATGAAAACTATAATACCAATATATACGTACTGTAGACACGAATTTCGTCGCGACACGTCGCGCGCGCGACGGAATACAAAACGGACGTTCGTTTACCGGCCTAATAATAATAATATACGGTACGGTTCGAAATCGATTTCAATTACGCATTGTTTGTGTACGCGAGCGGATACACTATAATATTATACTCGCGCCTATATTATAAACTCCGTCCCGGCGGCCGCGGCGGCGGAGGAAGTCATGTGTCGTAACGATATTACACACATATACGTATAATACATACACAACTATACGCAGTAAATACGGCTCTCCGCCGCCATCCTGCGGTATATCGTACGACGTGAGCTCAATCAAGAGTAATCGGTTATTGAATTCGAAACGTGTCTCCTTCGCAGAGCCGGTGCATGAACGGAGAAAAATATGATTAGAAAACAAAAAAAAAAAAAAAAAAAAAAAGTAACAAGACTGCGACGTGTGGCCTAAAAATCCTGACCAGCTGTGGGCGGTACGCTAACAAGGTATGCACACACACACACACACACATACACGAGCGCGCGCGCGCGCACACGCACACACACCCATATATACTCGAGGATATTATCCCGTCACTGACCTGTTATTATCGTTGTTCGTCTGAAATGAGATCCTTAAAATAAAGAGAATGAATAATAATAATAATAATAATACATATAGTAAAATTTAAAAAAAAAAAATAAAAAAAGATCCGTGTACCTAGCACGCGGTAATTGCTATACCGCGAGCACGACGAAAAAATCGGACAACGTCGACGACAAGAAGGATACGGCGGAAAGGAGACGCGAATAAACGACTGTAATTTTATTATGTTCTGCGACGACGAGACCGTACGGGACTACAATATAAGTCGTGCTCGGGCCGTTTTTCGGTGTGTTCACGATAATGTAATTTATATTATTAGAAAAAAATAAAAAAATAAAAATAAAAATTGTATGTCGGATAGGTATACGTTTTTCTCGCGATCGGACACGTTTTCCATTTACATAGTTTTGTTTTCGGGCCGGCGAGATAGGGTCGGACCTAACCTCGAGCAGCTGATGTTCGTGACTTTGATATACAAATATTTATAATACCACGCGGATAATCGAAAATCTTTCGGGGATCTTCTTTCACTCCGGCGGTATGATATTGTAAACCGCGCCCGGGTTGTTATCTCCGTCGAAAAGTGCGCAAGTAAACTGCGCCCCGTTTCGTATCGTCGTATTGTTTTTTGTTTTTTTTTTTTTTTTACGACTGTGTAACTGCGAAAATCGCACACATGTCATATACGGATGTTTCCAATCCGAACAGGATAAACAATACCGTGTGTGTGTGTCAGTGATTCGTTTAATTTATTGAGGGTGACGATTTTAGCGAAGTTTCTTTTAATATTTTAACGATCAAGATTAAGATTTGTTTTGGGGCGCACATCCGTATGGTTTTATATGTTTTTGTCACTGGT